CTGGGTAAAGAGAAATCTATAATAAAGAAAAAATATGGTCAAAAGCACTTATCTAGCTTCCTAAAAACTTTAAGATTTCCTAAAAATCTCCTGCAAGACGCCTTTCAAAAATACACCTAAAGAAATTATTTTGTTGTTTAAGGATGTTACTGATTCTTCTACCTTTGAATGTTGTAATTAAAAACACATGTATACACAGAAATTATAAAGGTAAGGTATATGATGACTATTACCTAAGATACCAACTTACCCAAAGAAACCTTAATCCCTAATCTTATGTATACACCCTCTAGAACCCTTTTCTTCATTCACAGTGTAAATTAAAAAGAAAACCTGAAAAGCATATTTTCCTATTTGATTTTCCTGAAATAAACTTACATTGGAAATTATGTTTTTCTCACCAGAGATCACACTGACTTTGGAGTTCCTGCTTAACATCAGAGGGAATCTCCTACTCAGATGAAAGCAGAGTCCTGTCTATAATCACTAGACTACAAGGTACTAGATATTAAGTAAAAATGATAAAACAGAGTGGTAAAAATCACAGACACAGAGGGTTCTAGTTTAACAGAGTACTAGTCCAAAAAAAAAAACCCAAAACCCAAAAAACAAAACAAAACAAAAAAACACTGTTCAATAAACATTAGCTAGTGATGTAATTATTAAGAATAACCATTGAAGGAACAGCAGAAGAAAAATGTGCTATAGATTATGAAGAAGCAGCAGGTTATTTCCATTTGGGGGGAACAGGAGGAAGCTCTCAGGAACAGAGAGATTTGAATGACATGTGGAATGGAAGTAAGAAGGGGAGAGGCATCAAGTTCTATGGTTCCTCCTCAGGAATATCTCTTCTTTCTGCCTTTTCCTTTTCCATAGTCAAGAAACTGACATATACCTATCATTCTCACAAACTCTTGGTCTCTTTGTATATTTTCTCTTTAGCCCAATCCATTCACAAACAACTAACAAGATAGTCATCACGTGATCCTAAAGATCCAGGCAGACCAAGGGTGGAATAATGGGCATATTGCACTTAATAAGGAAAATATTTGCTTACAGTGACCCTCATTCAGTGTCTATCCCTATACCATACACTGTAATCTACACATGATCATACTTAATAAAACCACAACACATAATACATACTATTACTATTCCCAGGAAGTCGGGTAACAGGGAAATTGAGGTATAGGACAAGTAATTTGTCCAAAATCATGGAGCTAGTAAATGGGAAGTCAGAATTTAAACTCAGGTAGTCTGGCTTCTGCTTAGATGCTCTCTGTACAAGTCACACAGCACTTGAAGTATTGTGTCAACAGTATGATACTCTTGAAATACTTGGACTAAACACTATGCAGAATTAAAAAAAAATTCCAAACTGTTCTGATGTATAGACATTTTGAAAATCTGTGAAAATTGTGAAAATCCAAATGAATTTTGGATAAGAATAACCACGATCAACCTGGCAAACACAGCACATAAAGGCTTAGGATGTTTAGTTAAGAGAAGAATTTGTTTAAGAAAAAAAAAACATGTTAACACTGAAAATATCGATTAATGGGTGTATGAGGAATAACTGAACAAGGTCTTGGCTCTCTCGTAGGTTACTCCATGCCTCTTACCTTAAGGGCTACATTAAGGAAGAGAGGAGAGATCCAGGCTGCGGGATTTTCAAAGCAGATCCTGGACCCAAGTATGACAATTACAGGGAAGGAGACTTCAACTGCGTATTAGCAAGGACTTCCCAATCCATAGATTTGCCAATAAATAGAATTTCTCTGTATGACTCTCATCCAGGAAGTGTGCAAAGATGTTAAAGGGCTAGTCATCATAAATGTTATTCCATGAATTCAACTATGGTAGAAAGGGTAAACCAGGTGGCCATAATGTTCCGTGATTTAGATGGGCTAGCTATTCACCCAACCTGTTTGACCTTATTCCTGGAAACAGCTGAGATAGGTTTGCCATCATCCTTTGCAGTTAGATGTGACCATTGAGCTGAGTTCTAACCAAGGAATATCAGTGTAAGTGGTATGTGTACTTCTAGGCCTGCCTCATAAAAACTCACACATGCCATCTTCCACGTTATTTTCCCAATTCCACTGAGTCTGGTATCCTTAAAAGTCATGTGTCACAAATAGTGACAAATGAACTACAAGGTGGTAGGACCCCAAGTCCCTGAAACACCCCAGAGTAGCACAGATAGCCATGAGAAGCAGAAGCAGACGTAACCATTTAGGGTGTCAATCCACTGAGATTTGGAGAGTATGTTGTAGAGCAACATGATTACCTTACTCAGAACAGATGCCTTCCAATAGGATTTATTTTTTCAACTAGAGGGCAAGTTATTTCAAACCAAAGAATAGCTCATATTCAATTTTTGTCATCAGTATGTACAAACTAAACACTTTCAGCTCAGTAGGTATTAAACTTAAAAATATTGGAAGGACAGGGGCGCCTGGGTGGCTCAGTCGGTTAAGCGACTGCCTTCGGCTCAGGTCATGATCCTGGAGTCCTGGGATCGAGTCCCACATCGGGCTCCCTGCTCGGCGGGGAGTCTGCTGCTCCCTCTGACCCTCCCCCTTCTCATGCTCTCTCTCTCTATCTCACTCTCTCTCTCAAATAAATAAACAAAAAATCTTAAAAAAAAATATTGGAAGGACAGGAATAACAGGCACAGTAACCAACATTCGTGTATTTAAATGGCTGACCATCTAATTTAGGATTTGAATGTGGTGATAGCAGCAGCGATTTAGGTAGCAAAAAATGTCTATACCTCAGAACAGTTTGGAATTTTTTTTTAATTCTACATAGTGTTTAGTCCAAGTTATGAAAGCACAGGTAGAACGATACTTGTTAAAAAAAAGGCCTGTGGATATTACAAAAGTCTGGGGGATCACTGAACTGACATGGAGGATGTGAGGTACTCTTTCCAACTCCCTCGCTGGATGCTTTTAGTCCACAAGAGATAGTGTATCCTCCTGAGTTACTGAGAGTTGATATTATGATTTTTATTTTCCCTTTCCATTGCTCTTTCAATGGCTCCCTGATCTGGCTGAGACACGATATATCAAAATAAAATATCGGCAGAAAATTATGCTCTTGGAGTTTCCCCAAACAGCACCAGCAAAGGAAGTGCCAGAAATTTCAGAAGAAAGCCGGTTTTCATGAGATTTCCTGCCTTCCTTACATCTCAACATGTCTAAATAGTTCAGATAACCTTCAGATGAACTCTAGGTTGCTTCACTCAGTTGGAAATCAAGCAACTGAGCTGAGGCTTACCCATTCAACAATGGGTACAATTTAGGAAGTATAATTTTAAAAAAGTATCTCAACCAAAAGAGACATTGGATACCAAAATTCTGGGCCTGACTCTTCATGAACCGGAGCCAGCTCTCCTGCTCTGGCACCCTACTCTGGCCTGATTCTTTATGAGTATGCATAAAACAAATTCACCCATTATAAAGAAGATAACGATATTCAGGAGGAAAATAAATAAGCAGCTTTCCTGTTCTGGTCTCAAGCTATCCCTCTCCCTCAGAGCATCTCCCAGTGTTTAGCTAGGTCTTTCACTCACTACTTACCTCTGTCAAATTTTTTCAACAATACCTTACTCAGAGAAAAGTCACTTTTTCCAATAATTTCTTTTTTAAGCTTGAAATGCATTTTTTTTTTACCCCTCTTATGAGCAGTAGGTCTAAATAACATAGAAATGCCATCTAGTTAAAATCCTGGAGGAAATAAGAACACTTCTCCAGTGAGCGATCTAGCTATTTGAAATTAAAATTCTGAGGCCAGATATTTCTTTGGGTGGGATATGTATTTCCTTTGTCATCTATTTTCATCTACGATATTAATACGGTCCAGTGTATGGCCATGTGGCTAGTTTAGATTTTGACCCTACTTCTTGTTTCTTTCCTAGAAGTCTTGTTTCTGATTTATTTATTTGTTTGGTTTGGTTTTCCATTCCTGGCATCATCTTTGTTTTCTATGGAAAAAATGTATAAAAATCATCCAGTCGGTTTTCAACTACCAGGTTCATTATTTCTTGTTACAGCTGTTTTCTTTATCATAATTAATATTCATTTTACCAAAATGTGCAGGTAGTGTATAGAACCTACTACTACCTAAAATAAGCCAAGTATGCATCACAGATGACCCCCACCCACCCCATCATAGCTTAGAATTGCGTCTTCTCAGGCAAAACACTGTAATAAGCTTACACAATAGTAAATTTTAATATTTGCTTTTATAAAAGCAGGAAAATATCAAGAATCATCTAAAAAACTGAAAAATATGAAAAATATGCATAAAAACTCACCCATTATAAAGAAAACAATATTCATGAAGAAAATAAAAATATTGACAAAACAAAGAATCCAAATTCAAAGAACACAATATTACCAAGTAGCAGCCGGAAATTTCCTGCACAGAATTCCTAAACCCTTTCTTCTTTCCACCGGAAAGACATGTTTGAGATTATAAATACATTAAAGTCAGTAGCAAAGGAGGGGTTTGAGGGGGCACACCATGACACACACAGGCACACACTCTCTCTATACACATCTCTGTTCAACTGGGGATTATGCAGAAAGGAGAGCAAACTATGATTTTCCTCCTCTCCTTTCTGGTCCTTTCTTTCCTAGGTTGTTGCAGGACCTGGCAGGGATATTAGCTTATGAAATCAAAGAAACGCCACCACATCGGTATGGGAGTAAAACTGCATTCTTATTTGACATCTGGAATCCAATTTTCTTGTAGGAACTTGCAATAGAAATTGAACTTTGAGAACCACCCACTTCAAGGATTCCCAGTCTCAAGGACTGCTGCTTTGACTAGGACATCTGTGGGATTTGTTGGTAAGGCAGAATACTTCCCATAAATCACAGGTGAGGAATGATGAGAGTCCTCCCTCCCCACCCCTAAAGTGAAAGGGCGGGAGACGCAATGATCACCCAGGGGGAACCGCCACCAATTCCGGTGAGCCTTGCAAACCTTACCACGTATGTGCCACCGTGAAACGCCGCTGTTTAGGGATGTTGCTGCTGAGAAGCATCCTCCGCAGGAGCCTGGGGGAATTTCTTGGAGAAATCACTGGAGAGAGCTTGGGAGAGACCGATTTCCTTGCTGGCTTGGACTTCTCCTGCTGCAACAGGTTTTCCCGCAAGGATTTCACAAGATCCTCATTCAGCCAGGGGTTTGGACAATGCGGATTATCCACTTCAGGTACTGTTAAGGTGTCCGGGCTTGTCGTCTGCTGAGCCATTTTCCGGGTCAACTTTGTACAGTTGGCAACAATCCAGGGCAACGTGGTTCCCTGGCCTCTTTCCAGTGGCTGCTTCTCTCAGAGTCCGGGGAAATGTCCAGAGAAGCAGGTCGGATCCAGGGGCTGTTAGTTCATTCGGTCGCCTGCCTCAGTCTCTCCGTGGAGATGGGGCTGGGTGTAGACGAGAAGAGCGCACTCCTCAGCGGAAGCCTGTTAAACGTCACCCCTCCTGGGCTGGTCCCCTGCCAAAGATCACTGCCGAGCTCGCAGGGCAGGGGAATATGGAGGGAAGCCACTGCGTTAGCAGGGCTTTGTCAGCGCCACAAAGCAGCCTGTTAAACTATTGGAACTAATGCGCCGCAGCTGCTCCAGTGACTTGGGCTTATGTACATAAAAGTCCTGGGGGGAGGGCTTAACCATCAGATGCCTGCTGCCTGGTTGTTTGGCTAGTCTTTCCATTTGCTTATTCCTGAATCCAAAGGAAAGAAAAACTTTGAACTTGACCTTCCTCTCCCCGCAAGGGTTATTTATCTGCATTCAGTCCACGTTCATAAAAGAAAATTGCTAGTCCTTTGCTTTTTATAAGGGAAGAATAAACAAGCACTCGCTAGATAAGGAGGAATACTTCCCTGTTTGCTAAATTCAATCTGATGCATCGTATAGACAAATCCCAAGGGAATAAAATGGACTCTTTTTTTCCCCTCTAGTTAGAAACTAAAACAAAAGGTTTCAAAATACCACACATGGAACACATTACAGGTTGTTGTGTTGTACAACCTTGCTAATTATGGCCCTTTCAAAGCACGGGACAACAGTATTTACGTCCCAAAATGGTATTTGTTATCTCTTTGGATTTAAACTGACGACCTTCCAGAGGGACACGCTGTTTTCGTAAGAGTAGTTAAAAATGATTTTAAAGTTTCAGTTATGGTATACAAAACTTCATGTAGTCAACTATAAAAGAATAAAATAAATCTAGCTTTTCATAGTTATTTCCTTATTTTTCTTTTGATGTAAGATTTTTGTGATCAACATAGCTTCAACACAGTCAAAGGAGGTTTAAAATTTTAAAAAGGGAAATTATTTCTTGCCTATTTAATTTACTAGTGGAAATAAATTTAAAATGTTACAACAATTTAAGTAAGCAAGTGATAATAAAGCCTGTTAAATCTCATTGTATGGACATTGGAAATGCAAACATTAAAACTGGATCGTAAGGAAGCTAAAACCTTTGCATAGAGATGTCCCCAGCAGTCTAGGGATGCTACAGAGAGTTCAGGATTGAAATCAAATCACTTTTCTCAGGAACTAAGAATATTTTTTTCATATTTTAAAAATACAATGATTTAAGAAGGAATTAAGAAATACATCCAGATAAAATGGAAAACACAATAGTCTGATTCATTTGGGGGCTTTTTGTTTGTTTTTTGGTTTTTGGTTTCTATGATTACTCTTAGGTCAGTTTTTAAAGTTTCTCCCACTTCCCTCCCTCCCTCCCTAGTTATTCCACCTTAAATTTAAATTCTTTGTCTTTAAAATGTTATAGAAAAGGATACACTGAGGTTGTTTACAGGAGCACCAGGTCACCACCTGGTATAACAATTTAATGAGCCATACGTTCCATGACTTAATCAGAAAATCTGTTCTGCAAATACTCAAATTTTTAAAAATCACGGTGTGATCGTTCTTAAAGAATTTTCACCAGTACAGAAGGTTTTGTCACTGCTAAACATCAAGTGGCAAGCTCCCTTACCTTGTTTACTTATTTTTTTAATATGTCTTTTTTTTATTATGTTAGTCACCATACAAACTCCCTTAGTTTAAACAAGCTAAAGATATCCATTTCTTCATACCTTTTAGCACTATATATAAATATATATATAATCACTAAATGAGTAAACAATTTCTGTAAAGTGGGCTGAAGGACTATTTTATAAGGAGTTGTGCAAAACACGTATGCAATGCTTGCCCTCAAAGAACTCGTAAGTTAATGGAAAACACTGGACAATACTCAGGAGAAGACACCAGAACACCTAGTGATAATTATTGAGTGCAGAAAAATACAATGAAAAAGGTAGCATAACTGATGAGGGAATGCTGAGGTGGAGTAAAGCTTGAAGATAGGGAGGATCAAAAATTAGTGGAAAGGAAGGTGAAAAAGAAGTGCTTTCCAGGATTAGAATGTGAATTAGAATTAGAATGTGCAAATGCAATAAAGAAGAAATAAGCAAGTTTGGAAAAAAAAATAAAGTCCAGGAGTCAGTAGATGTAAAACCTATTCAGGTTTGTAGAAATAAAAAAAAAAATCAGATAACAGGATAAGGTGGGAGGGACAAAACAACAGGTAGCAAGTTGACAAGCCCCACCCTCAAAATATTAGAAAAATTTCCCACTACCTAAAGACAATTCTATTCAGCAAACATCTGTGGGCATTTATTTTGTGCTAGGCACTATATGAAGTGCTGTAGGATATTTAAAGATTAGCTAGATGCTGTCCACATTGTCTGGGCATTTATTATCTCGTAAATTAACTGCAAAACAATTCACATGTCAAAGTATAACCCAAGTACCTAGATGAGAGCCAGGAAGCTGAAGATACTTAATGTCTGGTTTTAAGTAGAGAAAAGTGATTCTCAATGACCAAATAAAGAAATCAATATGACTAAGAACACTATGGGCCATAAAATGGAAACTCATTGAGTTCAGGATATTCTAGGTGCTAGTTCTTGCTTTCAGTGACCTTCATTTAAGAGGAATAAAATATTTACAAGCTAGTGTTCTCATAAGTGCTATGTCACGTGGATGCTCAGAGATCAGGCACTCTGTTGATGAGAATAACTAAGCTAAAATGGAAGATATAATAATATTCTACTGAAAATTCATTGAGGGTTGTGGATAAACATGTTCTAAAACTGAACAAAGGCTTTCTACAAATTTCCTGTTGCTTTGGTGCTTGTTAAAGGATTCCACTGTAGACGCAGAATTGGCTGCCTTTCTACAGGTTCCTATCATTATTTGGTCAATATCCTAACATCTACAATCACCCTCCCGAATCCCCCAAATGATATATGGCACTCATGGTGCTTTTTGAAAATAAAATTAATTTTGTTTTGAGAATTCTTTGCCATCCTCCCTTCAAATAACTTGGAAAACCCCACAGCATTTCAAAATCATGCTCAAAAATCACTGCCTTAAGAAATACAAATTGTAAAGTTCTGAAGATGACCAAAGGTGGGCGAGGTTTGGATAAACTGGCAATTTTCTTTATAATAATGTAGAGGGTCAGGGGAACTCTTCCAACAGGAATACGACATAGCTTGCCTTTTTTTTTTTTCCTTTTTAACAAAATCTCTTTAAAATTAGCTGCCAGAAACTCTTCTGAAAAGCACAGTACTGCAAATGACAGCCAAATAAGGCCTTCCGTTTTAACAAGTGGAAATTTAAAAGTGGGCAAAATGTTTTGATAAAGTCACCCATACCTAGAACTGCAGATAATATCTCTTAATTTCATAAAGGTTTTCCTAAATACCTTTTTGTGGATTTTCTAAATTTGTTTTTTTAGATTATTCAGAATCCTTGGTAATATTTAATTAATTATTCACAGGCAACAAAACAAATATGAAATAAGATTTGCACAAGTTCTGGAACAAGGATTGAAAAATGTACCCTTATCTAGGTAAGATACAAGCAAGGCTGAATTTCCCACAATTGAAAGGGAGCAATGGTGCAGCTAATTCAAAAGGACATATAAATTGACTATAGAATGCATTGTACGCTGCTTCTGCCAACTGTGTTTTAATTAGGTAAACAGTTTGTTAAAACGAGACTCCTTTTTAACCTGCCCATAGGATATAGTCCGTGGAAATGATCTGATAGTGGGAAAGGTTATATTGTCTAGTAATTAAGAAGAGTGTGTTTGGAACCCAAAAGCTTGTTTTGAACTCCAGCTATGATACTTACTGTGTTACTTTGTGTGTGGATCAGTCCCTCAACTGTGAAATTGAATGATAATAATAGCCATTGCATAAGAATGCTGCAAAAATTAAATATGTTAATACCCATGATATAAAGGGCTTAGGAGAATGCTTGGTATACAGTAAACACCCAATAAATGCCACCTGCCACTAGGTGATACAAGAAACTTACAGAAATTTACACTCAGTAGATAACAACTCTCTGCCAGGCATTTTGCATTGTATTTCATTTAATTCTTGCAATAACTCTTAGGGTATTATTTCATTACCACTATTTTACTGATGAGGGCTTAAGGAAGTTAAATAACTTGCCCAAAATTGGGGCCTGCGTGTGGCTCAGTCGGTTAGGTGTCCAACTTTTGATTTCAGCTCAGGTCATGATCTCAGTGTCGTGATTTCAGGGTCCTGAGATCAAGCCCCATGTCAGTCTCCCCATTCAGCAGGGAGTCTGCTTCTCTCCCTCACTCTCTCCATCTGCCCCTCCCCCTGCTCACACACTCTGTCTCTCAAAGAAATAAATAAATCTTTTAAAAAGATAACTTGCCCAAAGTCATATAGTTCAACAGGGCAGGACCAAGATTTCATTGTCTATGAAGTACCAGGGCCTCCTATTTCAACTCTACACTAAATCACCCCCAAAAAGAAAGTTGATCCAATATTTAAAATCTATGATGGATCTTTTTATTGAAAAAATAGTAGAGATCTGAGTGCCCTGAGCTCTTGGTCTAGTTAACACTAACTTCTGCCCTTGGACCCACTCAGGACATACACCATGGTAACCTGTGAAGCCAGCCAAGTCATGAAATTCTTACAAAGGCACGGTATTCTAGTAAGCGCAGCTTGAGGTGGAATTCCTGAGTGTTTTTTCATCTATATGTCTGTACTCCTTTGATACAAAGGAGTTTTTATTAAGCTCCGTGGTAGTTTTCCAGTTTGCAAAAGAATATATTCTAAAATTATTTCATTTTATATTTTCATTGTGATTATTTTTCATTTAGAATTTATATCATTATAAACTCTGACAATAAAATTATATCATCCCTACACTGAAAAGCACATCTGGACATTGTGGAACAGGGCTTTTGGAATCATCATCATCACTAAATTTTTATCAGATACTGGGCTGGTTGGCAGAGATTATAAACAGCAAAATATCTACTTGAAAACGGGAGATGCACAAAACCCCTTCCACAAAGGAGATAAGGGATATCAAATTAATAATAGAAAAAAAAATCAGTGCCTCAAGGATTGAGGAGTAACCAATAATATACGTATCTTGACCATGTAACTTGAAGCATCAGCAGGAGTTGAATTTGGCCTTGAAAGAAGGCACATGTGGAAGAATAGTTATAAGACAGTCTGGAGGAGTAGATTATCATGGAGAGGAAAGAGATGTTGGATTTTTAGACCCTTTCCTATGGAAAAATTAGTAAAATTTACTTGGGATGTAAGTAAATAATAGAGGTATTTAAATAAGATTAATTTGGTTGCAATGTGTACTATGATTTGGAGGAATTGTAAAGGCTGCTTAATAGTTCCATTTCAATATAAATTGGTGTAGAAATGGAAAGAAAGGGGATAATGACTCAATGTTTGGAAGGATTTGTTCACTGACTATGAGCATTCAAGCCAATAGGGAAGTCAAAAATAGACTGGACATTTTTTAACCTAATCAATGATACTTTCCATCTAATTAAGTATGGTTCACCTAATTAATCATCAAAAGGCTGTTAATGTAAAAAAAAAAGCATCTATGGTTCACTGAACACAAGAAACATATCTGTCTTGATTTATATTAGAGCTATACTTTGAGCATACAACATGAGGTTCCCAGCTCAATTTAATAAAAAGATTAAATGTTTTTTTTCCTAGATTAAATCTAGTTAAGTGTGGTTTTTTATTCCGCTAAATTAAAACTAAGTGTTAGAGATACTTCTATTGAAATAGTAAGTCAGTATATTTCATTTAAAAGAAAAATTATTTTATAGGGCACAGCTTAGACTAGCAACATTAGCACAACATATTTATTTTATTTCTGACAAAATAGTTGCACTACAATTTAGACAACACTTTCCTTTCCTCCTGATCAATTCACGTATAAAAGCTTCCAATTCTGGAACAGAATTACT